CTGAAATATTGCATTGCATTAATCTGAAAATTACAGCAGACATATATACATGACAGACACTATTGCACCTAACCATAAAACATATTTTAGTCCAAAATGACATCCAAACCACTCATCTTTAGCAACTCTGATTACATCACATTAATTAGCTACAAAGTTGGCAACCTGAATACATGCTGAATTCACCAAAATACATCACTTCAGCATGCCCCCAGGTCAGCTATGTGAACTGCTCCAGACTAGTTTTAAACTTCAGCATTTTACTTTTGCCGCCAGAACTCAGCTCCAGTTTAATCCAAAATAATGCTTCAAGCAAAATATCACTCATTTGAACACTCCTCCTTGATATTTTTGCTTGAGACACCAAGTTTGAGCTTCATGTCTTCAAACTTGGACCTACTTAGGGACTTAGTAAGTATGTCAGCCAATTGCATTTCCCCCCTGCAGTGTGTCAATCTAATTTCACCGGATTGCTCAGCCTCCCTCACTGCATGAAACTTGATTTTTATGTGCTTAGTTCGACCATGCATGACTGGATTCTTAGCCATTGCAACAGCTGATTGGTTATCACAGAAAATTTCAGTTGGCTCACTCTGTTTTACCTCCATATCAGCCAGCAGATTTCTCAACCAAATAGCTTGATTTACTACAGCTGCAGCTGATATGTATTCAGCCTCTGCAGTGGATTGTGCCACTACTTCTTGCTTCTTGGAAGACCAACAAAATGCACCATAATTCAGAAGGAAAACATACCCTGATGTGCTTTGCATATCATCACAGGAACCTCCACAATCACTGTCTATATAGCCTATCAGTCTGAAATTTTCAGATTTCCTAAACCAGATTCCATGATCTACAGTTCCTCTAATGAATCTCAGCACCCTCTTGGCTGCTTTAAGATGCTCCTCACTTGGTTTGCTCATGAATCTTGATAGGAGACTAATGGAAAACATCAGCTCAGGCCTTGTTGCTGTCAAGTACAATAAACTCCCAATCATTCTCCTATAATCTGTCTCATCTACTGGGGCTGCTCCATCATCTTTGCATAGCCTTTGATTTTGCACCAAAGGTGTGGCAACTGACTTGCATTCATCCATTCCAAATTTCTTGAGCATCTCATTTGCATATCTCCTTTGACAAATGAAAATGTCATCTTGTGATTGATGGATTTCCATTCCAAGGAAGTAAGTCATTACTCCCAAATCAGTCATCTTAAACTCTTTGTGCATTGCTTTCTTGAACTCTTCAACTTGAATTCCATTGTTTCCAGTTACCAACAAATCATCCACATACAGAGAAACCATTATTACATCTTCATTGGCCCTTTTTACATATAAAGTATGCTCATTGGGGCTTCTTGCATAACCAAGACTGATTAGATAGTAATTGATTCTGCTGTACCAAGCTCTTGGAGCTTGTTTCAGGCCATACAAGGCCTTTCTCAGTAAGTACACCTGGTCTTCCTTCCCCTTGACTAATATCCATCAGGTTGTTCAACAAAGATCTCTTCATCCAACCAACCATTCAAGAAAGCTGACTTAACATCCATTTAATACACTTTCCACTTGAATTGGGCTGCCAAGGCTAGAACTAACTTGATTGCATCATGTCTTGCAACCGGGGCAAAAGTATCTTGGAAATCCACACCATGTTGTTGTGCAAACCCTTTCACAACTAACCTGGCTTTGTGCTTCAAAACTGAACCATCAGGATTCAGTTTTTTCTTGAAGATCCACTTTACTTGGATCACTTTCCTCCTGGTAGGCCTTTCCACAAGCTCCCATGTTCCATTCTTTTCTATCATGGACAACTGCTCCTGCATAGCAAGTCTCCACTCCTTAGACTTAGTTGCCTCATGGTAAGATGTTGGTTCAAGCAATGCAACATTGCATCTGCCATAAATCTCAGCAAGAGTTCTGGTTCCCCTAACTGAAATTTCTTCTTCTGTTTCAGAATCTGCCCCATCAGTTTGTTCAACAGTTTGTTTTCTTTGTTGTGGCTTTGAATCTAGCTGAATTTTCTTCTCTTCCCAATTCCACACTGACCTCTCATCAACCTTTACATCTCTTGAAACAACAACCTTTCTTGACTCTGGAATGAAGATTCTATAAGCCTTGGATTGGAGGCTGTAACCTACCAGAATTCCAGCCCTTGCTTTGTCATCCAGTTTTGACCTTTTGATGGCTGGTATGAGTACATAGCATATACTCCCAAATACTCTTAGATGATCCACTTGAGGCTTATCTCCATACCATGCTTCAAATGGAGTTTGATCCTTTAAAGCTTTGGTTGGAAGCCTATTTAGCAAATACACACTTGTATTGACTGATTCAGCCCACAATTCCTTTGGCAACTCCTTTTCAGTCAGCAAACACCTGGACATCTCCATTACTGTCCTATTCTTTCTCTCACTCACTCCATTTTGTTGAGGAGTGTAGGGACAACTAAACTGATGCCATATTCCAGCCTCCTTGCAAGTTGATTCAAACTCATTTGAGGTGTATTCACCTCCATTGTCACTTCTCACAGCCTTCATCTTAACTCCAGCTTGGTTTTCAACTTCAGCTTTGAACCTTTTAAACACAGTTGAACCTTTTAAACACAGCAGCCACTTCTCCCTTTTGCTTTAGGAAGTACACCCAAGTCATTCTTGAATGATCATCAATGAACAAGACTAGTTGGCAACCTGAATACATGCTGAATTCACCAAAATACATCACTTCAGCATGCCTCCAGGTCAGCTATGTGAACTGCTCCAAACCAGTTTTAAACTTCAGCAGTTTACTTTTGCCGCCAGAACTCAGCTCTAGTTTAATCCAAAATAATGCTTCAAGCAAAATATCACTCATTTGAACAAACAATAGTCTCTTCCTTCTTCACCGTCTCCAGAAGCTTAACTAGCTTGTAATGATTTCTGAGGATCCACTATCTCATCCAAGTTTGGTCAGTTCATGAAACTAACACATCTTAACCTTTCTTTCTCCAGTTTCTATGGCCTAATACCTACTGAAATCTATCACCTAGCAAAACTTGTTTCAATTGATCTTTCTGGTAACTTTGATCTTGGATTACCAGAACACAGTCGACATGTTTTCAATAAGCAATTGCAGAATCTAACAAAACTAAGACATCTTCATCTTGGTGATGTGGATATGTCTTCAGTTGCTCCTGGCTCCTTGGTGAACCTGTCTTCAACTCTAATATCTCTTGTTATCAGCAATACAGTGTAAAACTTACGTTTCATTATGTTACATGAGTAACGTAAATAACCTTTTGATTTTCATTAGTTTTAAACCTTGATGGTCCACATTAGTTGTTCAGTTTTCAAACGTTTGGGATTTATGGCAGCCATTAAGCATGCCATTAAAGCTTGATGGAAGCTTGGTTATGAATATATTATTTTGGTCCCTAAGCTCAAGAACACGAATATACAGAAAAATACACCATCAATAGATTGTCTTGAGAGCTTAGAAGATCCAAAATACTGCTCGTGAGTTTGTTTCAATGGCCGGAGGTAATTCTTGATTCCTGGTTTGTAGTTTAAGAATATTTTATTCTTTGTATTTCTGTTTAGATTACGGATAAAATGTCTTACAGTTGGTATCAGAGCCATATAATACCTCTGCCTTGATGTTTTGCAAAAGTTTTTTTTTTTTTTGAAGCTCTCTGTTCATGGCCGTTTGAAATTTTTTTTAAAAATCAAAGTTTGCCTTTTAGTTGTTTTCTAACGAAAATAAATGATATAAATCATTAGGAAATTGGATTTCTATCATTTCTGGGTTTTGAAACAATTATNTTTAGCAAATACACACTTGTATTGACTGATTCAGCCCACAATTCCTTTGGCAACTCCTTTTCAGTCAGCAAACACCTAGACATCTCCATTACTGTCCTATTCTTTCTCTCACTCACTCCATTTTGTTGAGGAGTGTAGGGACAACTAAACTGATGCCATATTCCAGCCTCCTTGCAAGTTGATTCAAACTCATTTGAGGTGTATTCACCTCCATTGTCACTTCTCACAGCCTTCATCTTAACTCCAGCTTGGTTTTCAACTTCAGCTTTGAACCTTTTAAACACAGTTGAACCTTTTAAACACAGCAGCCACTTCTCCCTTTTGCTTTAGGAAGTACACCCAAGTCATTCTTGAATGATCATCAATGAACAAGACTAGTTGGCAACCTGAATACATGCTGAATTCACCAAAATACATCACTTCAGCATGCCTCCAGGTCAGCTATGTGAACTGCTCCAAACCAGTTTTAAACTTCAGCAGTTTACTTTTGCCGCCAGAACTCAGCTCTAGTTTAATCCAAAATAATGCTTCAAGCAAAATATCACTCATTTGAACAAACAATAGTCTCTTCCTTCTTCACCGTCTCCAGAAGCTTAACTAGCTTGTAATGATTTCTGAGGATCCACTATCTCATCCAAGTTTGGTCAGTTCATGAAACTAACACATCTTAACCTTTCTTTCTCCAGTTTCTATGGCCTAATACCTACTGAAATCTATCACCTAGCAAAACTTGTTTCAATTGATCTTTCTGGTAACTTTGAACTTGGATTACCAGAACTCAGCCGACATGTTTTCAATAAGCAATTGCAGAATCTAACAAAACTAAGACATCTTCATCTTGGTGATGTGGATATGTCTTCAGTTGCTCCTGGCTCCTTGGTGAACCTGTCTTCAACTCTAATATCTCTTGTTATCAGCAATACAGTGTAAAACTTACGTTTCATTATGTTACATGAGTAACGTAAATAACCTTTTGATTTTCATTAGTTTTAAACCTTGATGGTCCACATTAGTTGTTCAGTTTTCAAACGTTTGGGATTTATGGCAGCCATTAAGCATGCCATTAAAGCTTGATGGAAGCTTGGTTATGAATATATTATTTTGGTCCCTAAGCTCAAGAACACGAATATACAGAAAAATACACTATCAATAGAGTGTCTTGAGAGCTTAGAAGATCCAAAATACTGCTCGTGAGTTTGTTTCAATGGCTGGAGGTAATTCTTGATTCCTGGTTTATAGTTTAAGAATATTTTATTCTTTGTATTTCTGTTTAGATTACAGATAAAATGTCTTACATACAGACCTGCAAGGCAACTTCCCAGAAGACATCTTTTGCCTTCCATTCCTCAAAAAGTTGAGTTTAACCGGAAATGAATTTCTCACAGGTACTTTACCAAAGTATAATTGGAGCTCTTCACTGAGATTCTTGGATCTCTTTGAGACAAATTTCTCAGGAAAGTTATCTAACACAATCGGCAACCTTAAATACTTGAAGGTTTTGGATCTCTCAAGTTTCTCTTGGTACTTGGATATGATGGATCTTTCTTTCAACAAATTCAAAGGGCTGATTCCAACATCATTTTGGAACTGCACGAAAATAACTTCTTTGGATTTGTCAGGCAATAACTTTACAGGCGAAGTTGCAACGTCATTATCTAAACTTAGTCAGCTTAAAAGTTTAAATCTCAGTGGGAACAATCTTGAAGGAAAGTTCCCAGATGTTTTTGGCAATCTCAGCAAATTAACTGATCTAGATCTTTCATTGAACAATTTCAGTGGTCAGTTGCTGTCTTCAACATTCAACCTCTCACAGCTTTCTGTTTTAGACTTTTCCGAAAATCAAGTTCAAGGTCATATTCCATTTCAAGTAAGTGGTCTTTCAAATCTAATTTCTCTCAAGATGTCTGATAATTTTCTTGCCGGAAGAGTACCATCTTGGTTGTTTACTATGCCATCTTTAGAGACATTAGACCTTAGCAATAACAAACTCACAGGTCCAATTGAGGAGTTCCACCCGCCTGGTTCAGTGAAATATGTTTCTTTGATGAATAACGAGATTCGAGGTTCAATTCCAAATTCCATGTTTGAACTCTTAAACCTTACATCCCTCTACCTTTCATCCAACAACTTGAGTGACAATGTGAATGCAGACAAGTTGTCTAAGCTCAAAAATCTCGTTGCCATTGACCTTTCTCACAACACCTTACTATCATTTGTTAATCAGAAAAGTGAAACCTTTACGTCGCCCAACCTTCAAAGCTTCAGTTGCTCTTCTTGCCACATAAATGAATTCCCTATTTTCTTAAGAACCTCAAACATCTTGTTTTTCTTAGACCTTTCAAACAATAGAATTCATGGTAAAATTACTCAATGGCAATTTGAATTGTTTCACAATTTGTTATATTTGAATCTCTCTCACAATTTTCTTACGAGTTTCTCCCCTATTGGAAAAACTTCAAATGTGGTTCTTGACCTTCAATCCAACTTGCTCCAAGGCCCACTTGTGATTTTAGATGCACCATTGATGGACACCTTATTACTTTCCCACAACATGTTGACGGGAGAGATCCCTTCGTCAATTTGCAACTTGAGCGATATTCATGTTCTTGACCTATCTAACAATAGCTTGAGTGGAACAATTCCTCAGTGTCTAGGAAACGCTCCCTGGCTTTCACTCTTGAACCTTAAAATGAACAATTTCCATGGTAACATCCCCTCAATATCTGCATATAGCTCCATTCAATAAATCAACCTTAACGACAATAATTTAGAGGGATCATTACCACCTACATTGGTTAACTGTGGTGATTTGGAAGTTCTCAATGTTGGGAACAACATGATAAATGATACTTTTCCTCATTGGTTAGCAAAGCTTCCAGATCTACAAATTCTAATATTGAGATCTAACAGATTTCATGGTTCCATTGAAAAATCAAAGGCAAGATTATCATTTCGTAAGCTACGAATAATTGATATCTCTCACAATCAGTTCACAGGTACTTTGCCACCAAGATTTTTTGAGAAATTTAATATGATGGGTGGGGAAAATTTTGAAGGTGAATTGGCATATCTGAAAAAAGATCAATTTACTGTGTCAATAGCCAATCAGAGTTATTATTCATATTTTTCAATTGTTTTAACAATAAAAGGTGTTGATAGAGAAATGGACAGAATTCTAAACATTTTCACAATGATGGATTTGTCAAACAACCAATTTGAAGGACAAATTCCAAAAGTTATTAGAAAGCTTAATTACCTCTAAGCCCTCAACTTTTCTCATAATAATCTTACAGGTCATATTCCACCATTATTGGAAAATTTGACTCAACTTGAATCATTAGACTTCCCCTTCAACAACTTTGTTGGAAAGATTCCTAATCAGCTCACAAGTCTAACATTTCTTTCCGTGTTGAACCTTTCATACAACCAACTTGTCGGATCCATACCTCAAGGAAATCAATTTGATACATTTCAAAATGACTCTTATATTGGAAACTTTGGGTTGTGTGGATCCCCATTGTCAAGGAAGTGTATTCATGATGAGCCACCATCTCCAGTACCATTAATCTACCATGAAGAAGATGATGAGTCGAGCTGGTTTGATTGGAAAATTGCCTTGATGGGTTATGAATGTGGATTTGTGTTGGGCTTATCCATTGGATATATTGCATTCACAACAAGAAAACCGCAATGGTTCATAAGGAAGATTGAAAGAGTAAGTCTGAGAAACATGGGGAGAGTTGAAAAAAGGCCTCCGAGAAGAAGAAATTAGTAAGTTCATGTACTGCTCTTTCATGTTTGAGTTTTTAATCTTCTTCTTGCATTGTTTTTAACCATTCTCATTATTATTCATGTTTTCGCAGGAGAATTCCACCGCCTTTCTCCAACGAAGGGTAAACCCACTTGCAGAACTGGTTTTGGATTCTATATCCTTTTCTGGGTATCTGTTCATGAAATTTTTGAACTTTATACTTTAGAATTGGTCCTTCATGTTTTTTTTTTTTTTTTTTTTGAATTTCAAGTTTAAGCTCACTTCCATAATTGATTTTTGATTCAGTTTGCAATTCTGGTCCTCTGTTTTATTTTACAATTCATCTCCCTGTCCTGTTTTTTTGGCATTAGAATAGTTAATTTTCTTTAGTCAAAGTAAAATCCATTCAATTACTTTAATTTGGTGAGGCCATGGTAGTAATGGGGTTATTTTCATTGCGCCGCTCACAAATTTTATCCATAAACATTTGGGGGAAAATAATTATATACGAACAGATTACAACCCAAGAATGAAAATTCTCCAATGCTTCGAGTTGGTTCAGTTGGAAATTGCTTTGATGGGTTACAAATGTGGATTGGTAATAGGCTTGTCTTTGGGATATATTGTAGGGATGAGCATGGGTAACGAGTAGAACCAGAACCAGAGTCGGCTCAATGGGGTGTGTTTTGTAATTTTTACATCAAATATTATTTGACATATAAGGAATTGCATTGCAAATTGGGGAAAAAAAGGGAAAAAAAAAAAAAAAAAAAAGAGTCAAACTCATGTCTCCACCCACTGTCCAGTATACGATTTGTTCTCAGCTCATGTCGTCGACCTTCCATCACCGTCCAGTCGAACATCCGATTGGTAAATAATTTTATTCAATGATTTTTCTTTTTAAGCTACTAATTAACTTTCTTGTATTTATTTTGTAGAAATGACTGGACTTGACGAGGGAATATCCACAGCAAATTTGGAGCATGAGACATGATGTTTTAATGATTGCATTTCACTATTTTGTTATTATGTAACTTATGTTATTTGAAATGATGAATATTATTTATAATTTTCAGATTGGGAACAGTAGTTGTAGAAGACGTGATTTTTTTAAGCAAACTGCAAGGTGTATGTGTGAATTTTGTGAACTACCAAGGCTGTACTTGTAATTTTTTTAGGGTATATTTGTCATTTTTAAAATATTAGGGGTAATTTAATTCTCCTATGTACGGGGGACCAGAACGGAACCTGCATTTTAGGTTCCAGTTCTAGGAACTGGTCGGTTCCGATTCCCGTTCCTAGCTAGCAATTTTGGAAAGTACCTGGAACCGCTCACCCCTAATTTTTATGTTATATTCGCAATAGGAAAACTGCTATGGTTTGTAATGATGGTTGAAAGAGTAAGGTTTAGAAACATGAGAAGAGTGAACATAAATCATCCAAGAAGAAGACATTAGAGAGTTAAAGCTAGTGCTGCTCTCTATAAGGTGAGTCATCCATCTTTTATAGAATATATCTGTAGCTTTGTCTTAATTTAAAAGCGTAAGAATTTAAAGTATAATTTCCAGCATGTTTTCAACATTCTCTTTCTTTTCAGAGCAAGGAGGATAGCCGGTTGTGTCTACATGTCTAGTTATCATCTTCAAGCCATTGATTTTCTTCCACTCTCTCTGGACAAGTAATTCGTATGTTATTTTTGGGTTGTGAAGTAATTGACGTACATGGTGAGCTAATATATTTTTCACGCGCTTTAGATAATGTGGTTCTATTGGAGTTACTGAGTGTTTTGCTTTTTATAAAAGAATCACTAATAATAATAATAATAATAATAATAATAAAATCACTCTGTTAAAATTTATTTGTCGGTTATTTTGGGTTGTGAAATTAGATGTGAAGTAGATAACAAGCTAATAGTCTTTTGATCTATAAAATGGCATTGCTGAAATTACTAGTCCTATTGATGAAGGCAAATGAGAATGCTGAACAGAAGATGCGAAGGAGAAGAAAATTAGGTGTGCTCCACTTTAATTTCCTGTAAGTCAGCTGTGCTATTTTTTTACAATTGTTTGTCCTGGAATGGTAATTATATTTACATCTTGAAAAGTTTATTAATTACAAATTGTTTAGACTACATCATTATCCATGTTAATTTCGAGTTCTTTTTTAGTTGAATATAAGGTTGTTCATACTCACTATTGTTGCAGTATTGCTTCTCTTTACTCCATCAGGTTCTGCAGATAAAAGTATCAAGGATACAACGCACGGAGTTTATTGATAGAAGTTGGATGTAGAAATGGAGGCTTAAATAGAATAGAGCTGCAAGATTATGTTGACTTTGTCTCCACATTCTTTTGGGATATTGTGTTTCATTTTTCTATTCGTTCCTGTGTCAAATTATATATCTTTAGGAAAAACTATTTAATAAAGAATACAATTGTGAATAGGAATAGGAATAGAATTATGAGAGTCTTATTAGGAATTGAAATATGAATTCCATTAGAAATAAAATCTCTCATATACTACATATAAATATGGGGGTAAGAACCAATTCAAGGTTATAAACACAAGACATTTGATGGAAGGGTTTTTAAACGACATGGTAGAGTCTCTTAGAAACTATGATGGGTTAGAAAGTGTATTCTTGCATATCATGTTCGTAAAACTATAGTGGAATTCTCTCATCCGTGGATGTAGGCAATGTATGTCGAACCACATAAATATCGTGTCTCTTTATGTGCTGTGATTTTATTTCTATATTATTAATTTCGAATATATGTTTTTTGTTGCGCGATTTCCTAACACATTCATCACGTTTTGAAACTTATAGTTCGACTCCTTTGGTGACATTTAGAGCCACCCAATTGGAAACACAATTTGTGCTTAATTCTCTTAAACAATTTCTAAGATTTTCAAGCTAAAATTTTGGCTGCATGGTCTTAATCCCAGAATTTTTAATCTGCAATTTTTGAAATGCAATGACCTCCAAAACTTTGTGAATATGAGCACCAATTGCAAGAGAAACATAAGTGAGTTACCACTAAATTGTTGAAACTGAAAACCAAACATGTCACAAGTAAAGTATAATGTAAAAGACAAAACACACGATTTACCCTAGTTCGTCCCGATTAAGTAACTACATCCAGCATTCAAACAAAGACTTCTTATTAAGTATCAAAACTTTACGCGATTACAATGATAACTCACTCTAACTCTCTATCTCACATTAGGCTACTCATTATTACAAAATACTTATAATAGAAAAGCCTAACCCCATTTGGGCTTACCCGAATTTAACCCGACCCAGGTGCAAATATTAATAAACTAATTTTAGTCAATGAATTATAATGAAGAAACTTGAATAAAACCTTCTCTTTAGTACCAATCAAACTACTGAAAAAGAACACTAGAACTGGGTGGTGAAAAGAAGGAAGTTTTTTTATTCAAATTTAGAGAAATTTAAGTTTGATGAACTGGGTTTTGGTGTTTAGTTGCAAGAGAGTTTGTTTGCTGTGGAAAGTGCAGTAAATTAAAGCAGGGTATGGAGTTATGGACAGAGCATATTGTTGTTGACGAATATTCTATAGGATTTTCCGCTAGATGTACAATGGCTGTAGAATCAATTTCGCAATAAATTCACCTTGTAGTAGTACAATTACCAGGTAAAGCTTATATTTTGATGGTACAGTAGGAAGCTTTTACTTTTAAATAACGACAATAAACATCTTTTTTCTTTCTTTTTTACTCGCTAAACGATGATGGCGTGACATTTTGGCCGGCTTACCCCAACTTCCATTTCCAGGGTGGAAGATGGGTCTCTTCTGCTCTGCTGTTTTGGATAAGGCTTTCGCTTCATAATTTGCAGCAGCGTAGTGTCACGACCAGCCTGCTTGCCGACTCAAGCATGCTGCACGTTCACGTTGCTTACTGATTAAGTATACTTCAGGGTGAAGCAGACTTAAGAGTTAAGTTAACTTAATAGCTAAGTTAACGACTCAGCAACTAGGTTCGGCGACTAAGCACCTTCGTTTCCAAGGTTGCACAAATGCGCACCACCCACGAGCTTCGTTTCCAGGGCTGCACAAATACGCGCCACCCACGAGCTTCATTTCCAAGGCTGCACCAATGCTTGCCACCTAGGGTTTCTTAATGCTGAAGCACATAGATTAGTCATACATTTACTTTGAGGAGCTTGAGCCTATAAATAGGCAACTTCACCATGTAAAGTTCATAACTTGAATTCCATCAATACAGAGTTTATATTTTCTCTATACTTCTCTCTCGTTTATATACTTTTAGCCTGTGAGTTTGTGTGAGCGTTAGGCTGCTTAACTCATTTTCGACGAGTTAAGGCCGCACGAACTTAGCAAAGAAGTTAAGTGCGTGACAAGTGGTATCAGAGCCTCGGTTAGCATAACCTCGGTTTTCATTCAATGGCAAAAGATACTGTCGCTTCAAAGGGAACCAAGACGGCGGAGATGGAGACTTCCCAAGAACGTGGTCGTCCGGAGAAAGTCGACCCCAACCCCAACCCCTCAAGGCAGAGAGATAAGTCCAAAGATTTTCTTTCCAGTTTTGACTCACGCCTATCTCGTGTAGAAGAAAGGGTGAGCACGCAGTCGGAAGATCTACATCATCGAGTGGATGATCTAGAGTTGGAGGTTACCGAAACCCACACTGTCGTGAAAGCCATGTTGCTTCAAATGGAAGAGTCACTCAGGACTGAAATGGGGAGAATCCGTGAGGAGTTCGTAGGGGAGCTTGACAAAACCCGTCATGTGTTTCAAACCGAAATCAACAGCACACTGGTTCGTGTAAACGAGGTGCAAGCTGATTTAGCGCGATGCAAACGTGCCATGGTTGCAAGGACCGGTAGCAATGTCATTGAAAGCCAAAGGATTGACGTCCCAAGGCCTAGAAGTTTTGGTGGCTCACGCAAGGTGCAAGAGGTTGACAACTTCCTGTGGGGACTAGACAAGTACTTCGGGGCCATAGGCGTCACAGAAGAAAGCTCGAGGATTGAAACTGCAGTCCTCTATCTCACAGACACCGCAAGGTTGTGGTGGAGGAGACGAGAAGGAGACATTGGAAAAGGTATTTACACTATCTCTACTTTTGATGATTTTAAAAGAGAGCTTAAACGGCAGTTTTACCCGGAGAATGCCGAGGATGAGGTAAGAGCTCGCTTGCGAAGGATCAAGCAAATAGGGACGATCCGTGATTATATCA